AGGAAAAAATGCGACCCTACCATCGGTTCAATGACCTCTCATGAATCTGCCCGCTCTGGGTGGATTAATGGAGATCGACTGAGGATTGGTGGGGAGAATGCTTGAACTTGCATGCTGCAACGGCAGGGTAACTCAACGGACGATTTGACAAGGTATGAAATATTGATACGGATTAGGACTTAGCCTTCAACATTCCCTGCAATCCATCAGCCTTGTGTGGGTGGAAAATAATTCAGCTGATGCCAACGCAAACTCATCCGATCTCCATCGTACCCAACGAAAAGCACCTACAGCTAGTTCCAAGAAGATATAAATATAGGTTGTATGTCTTCACTTCCAACACGAACGGGCGTTGAAAGTGGCAGATAATTATCAGAAACCAGCAGATTGATGGTTTACTGAGTCAGTTTCATAAGAAACTACATTTTTGGTGTCTCACGGGTAGTTGCTGGATCATATAGTCAAGAAACGCCGCGAGTGTAATCTTACATTGGCATTCTGCACGTGTGCAGCGATGCGATGTACTCTGTAGGAAGCACGATGGCGACAATCACATGGCTCGGCAGAAGATTCCTTCTCAAGTTAGGACTGCGAAAGTAGGAAGGAAGTAAACGGGTCAATGTTGGTGTTGGTCGTTGCTTACGGGGTTGAGGGAATCTTTCACTGGTATCCTCTTTTTGCCTGATGTGGGCTGCGCTGCATAGCTCGATAAGAAATTTAGTCTGATAAGACAATGCGTTAACCCCAATCAGGTAATTAGCTTGTGGGACGGCAATCCACCCTGATTCCGAATCATTTTATCTGCTCAGTTGACACCAGGCAAATTACAGTTCGATTTTGATCCGATGAAAATCTCCATCTAAATTCAACATACATCTCTAGATTTCACTCACTGGACCAAAAGCCTTGTTAACAACGCTAGCCCTGAGTTCTAGTCGCTTCAATACGCGTTGTCATAGCCGAGCTAGCATTCATATCAGAGAGTACGTACATTGATTGAGCGAGATGTATGTCTAGAATGTATTTTTGGAATCCTACCAAGTTCTAGATTAATCTTTTGATATTCATGCCCAAGCCCTTTTTTGGCCAATTGGCCATTCCCATGTAAGCCTCTACAACTTCTTCCTATATAATTCTCCGCCGCATGCTCTTAGCTTAGCAGCCGCTTGCTCTGGGGTGATATCTCTTTGTGGTTCGGCCATTAATTCATATCCGACCAAGAACTTTCTCACGGTTGCACTTCTAAGAAGAGGAGGATAGAAATGCATATGCAAGTAAGAAGCATTGATCTCCTCTTCAGTACCTTCCAAGGGAGCTTGGTGAATGCCGGAGCCTATGTCGGTTAGCTAAAACTTCCCGCTCCACAATAGAAGAAAACGTGGGAGGGATATGCGCAAATACTCAAAAGAAAATGAATGCACAATGAGAGTTGAGGGTACTCACTGTAAGGAAAGCTAGTCTCAAACAAATTATCGTATCTTCTCGTGACTTCCGCAACAGCCTCCGCAAATCCCAATTTCTCTGCATCGTTCAAATCAACCAGACCTCTTTTATGTGTCTTGCTAATGATCATGACCTCAAATGGCCAGGTTGCCCACCATGGACAAACTACCAAGAAGCTCTCATTCTGAAATACGATTCTTTCTTCTTTTTCCATCTCAAGCTTGACATAATCTTCCAACAAATGTCGTCCAGAATTTTCCTGGCGATATTTGAGGAGATTAACGAGTTCGGAAGCGGGCTCTTCGGGTAATCCGGTTGTAGTCCATATTTGTCCGTGGGGATGGGGATTCGAACAACCCATTGCCGCACCTTTATTCTCGAAGATTTGCATCCATTTGTACTGTTGATTTGGGGCTCCAATATTATGGCCCGAGGGTGCAAGGGTAGTAGGTTGAGCTACACTTGCCAGAGGTGAGGAAGGAGACAAATGTGCGGCGTAGATCTCTGTCCATGTTTGTATGACGGGAAGAATCTGAGCAGGAGTGAGGTCTGCGAGTGTGAGGTTGTGCGAAGGAGAGAATGTTAGAACATAGCATTTTCCTGTAACGGGCTCCGCGCGTAGGAGAGTGTTCGAGAGATCTGCATTTTTGGATCATTTGTTAGATGTCGTCTTGGTATATGGAAAGAAGGGTAAAGCATCCAAGTTAGGAGATGGAAGGACTGAACAATAGGAGGGCAAGACGACAAACGGACCTTTTGATTCCCCATCCTGCGTATACTCAGCTTGAACCTCTTTAACCGCACTGTAATCATTCACAAAAACGAAAGTGTCTTTATACTGTGGGTTAGAATCTCCCTGGGCGCGTTTGTTTCCTGGACATAAGTAACACTATAAGATACATTAGTCTGCGGTATCTAACTCGGGAATATCTTCGGCATACCGCAGCATCATATTCCGGAAGTGTAATCTTCGAAGCCGCTTCTTGCTGTCCTCTTTCATATATGTTAGTATTTATCCGGGGCGAATTTTCATGTTTTCAGAAAGATTCCAAAACTTACTGCCATGGTCTCTTAGTACGATGAGGGGAGACAAGAAGCCAAGTACCCCGCAATGGGTTAAATCTCCTGTGTGAGATGTCGTCTAGGATCTTTTCTGGCATATTTCTTTTTGGATTTCGAGGTAACGCCAAAATATGTACAGATTTGATGTTGCAAAAAGAAGTTTTCGATTTTCTTTCCAATGAAAAAATTCAAAATAAATAAATACCTACTAGGTAGTAATCTTACCTATGTGGTTCCTTCCAAGATTTTTTCCTATTTCGACCTTCCACTTTTGGTTGCTCGTGATGCTACTCCGCAAAATCGAATGAAATGGCGGGGCTTAACTTTGTTCGGTTGTTTATCCGCGAAGTGGGGTGGGGTAATGAGGATTTTAGAGACTCAGAGGAAAGCAGATTACTTTTGGGCAACCACAACAAAATTCTATTAGTATATCGTGATTCATGAGGCTCTAGATGAGTTTGGTAGGGCGTGATGTGGTAATATTATCAAGCAATTGATGTATGTTTTGTTTGTATGAGTAAGCACTTAGCAAGGTATGTTATACGTAAATCAAGATAGGAATAGATCACTGGTGGAAGTGAATGAGGAAATCTATGAACATGTGTAGTATGTTGATGTGAAAGTGTGGTGAAAGTCCATGGTGCGTGGGCGAAGTATGGTAAAATGGATACGAGGATATTGATGAAAAGATGTTGTTTGCCATAATGAACGAATAATGAGGTTTCAATAGAATTGAGGATGGCATGGGTCTAACGATTTTCCTTAAAAGGGTACTTAAGCGAGTATCCCACATTTCATCCCTTCATCCTCGAATGATAACGATAGGTGATGCGTATTTGACCAATCATTGCTGCAACGTATGATCCACCAAGCCACCATTTGACTCCACTTACTGTACCTCGCACCAACCACCTCTTATTTTCTTTCCGTTTCTCGACCTCCCACTCGACCTCCATACTCCGTACGACCTACTCTCGGCTCCTTCATCCATTATCCATTTGCTACCTCTACTTCTACATGTGTAAACATCGTAAAATTGAGGCAACGAAAGGCTAGAAGCGATCACCTGCATATTCGGTCGTATGCAATCGAGGCACCATGATGAAGATTGCGAGAGTGAAAAGTGGAAGAATGAACAAGTAAAAAGTGCTGCAGTGAGATTTTACCTAACAGCCTCAAGACCCTCTTCCTATTCATTCACCCAATACCCAATACCCAACACTCACCACCCCCCTCTACCAAGTAAGCAGAATTCCACTGAAAGTCCAACATGTTCTCCACTGCCACTCAGCCTCTCATCACACTCTGTCACCTGTCAATTTCTGATTCAACCGCTTTGCAGATTCTTTTGACAACAGTTGGTAGGCCACAAAAAAATCTCCATGGTTCATTAGATTCAGCCAAACTACCCAGCTACACGGAATCGCCCCCAAAATAGACATGGCTGCAACTATCTGGCAAGGTTAAAATCCCGGGATCTTACTTCCCAACAGTAAACAAACATTTCATTAACATGCCATTCTGGAAAAAATTGTTCGGTCCTGCAAAGAAGGTGGCAATCCGTTGTACGAAAGAATTTTCCGAAGGAAAAGGGCATGAACGGCATGGTCTTCTTGCTCCGATATCATGTAGTGATAGGCGAAATTCATCCTCGTAATTCTCGTCATCCAAGGGATTGCATTGGATTTATAGATCCGCTTGCCAAGATGCATATCATTTTCTGTTGGACGATAGTATACAAGGATCGTATATCGCATGCTAAGATGTTTAGTCAAGGGTAGGTACAACATGCACAGTAGAATGTGTTGTCTTATTGAGGCTCATGGTTTTTCTTTTTCTTTTCCCGCGTTGCTCTCCCAGAAAATTGCCCTGTCTCGCCTGCTCTAGTGTCAGTAAGACGAAAGATAGATCTTCCATTTCTTTCTCAAATCACCACATATCCCCTGTGCTAATCCATGTACTACCCTTCGATTTTATTATCTCCTCCCTTGGCCCTGTATCTTTGCCATTTCACGAAGTTGATATTCAAAGTGATTTGTCAAGGTAACGTGGTGTATTCGTAGGTTCGTAATGTCTAGGGTCCCCTAGCTCTTTTCCATTTTGAGATTTTTCTCTCAGAACAATATCGTCTGGACTTTTCGCTCGTTTTACTTGTCTCTCTTGTTGTTCAACTAGTCCTCGTGGGCTTTCTGCACCGCTTCGGAATTCTTTTTAAGGTTACCTTGGCAATTAGATGGCTGCCAAAATTGTTAATTGACTTTTTAATTGGTCGCAAATCGCCTCAATTGGTCTTTTCCGAACCTTCAACCTTAGAGCTGACGCACCTTGGTCGTATATTATAGTCAGGCACATCAACTAAATACAACTACCTGCAGTCAATCGTTCCTGAACCAAGTAACCGTCGTCTCTTTTTCTCCGCTCGTTGGAAAAGATCTCAGCATTATTGCTGTTATCTACACTATCGTTATTCTACATCTACAGGACGATATTTCAAAATGGTATCCAATTCTCGGATCGGAGTACTAGTAGCGGGGTTGATTGGGGTTGTACAAGGACAGTATCTGAATACAACCGCGGCGATTGTAACTCCAATAACGCCAGAGGGACAAGGACATTATTCAACGTGCGAACCAAAGACTGTGACTATCACGTCTCCCGGAGGTGGATATGGGTCATGTCCCACACAAACCGTTACATCAACCCGAGTATCTGTATCGACAACTACATGTTGGGAGACTACAACAATTGAGTGAGTTCCAGCCGGCGGAAGCAAAGTGAAGATATGCTAAACGCGATTTAGCAAACCAACCACAATTGTCTCAATATCAACATCTACAGCATATCAGAATCAAACTGTGAGCGATCTTCTATTTGGACATAGGGATAATCATTGACTGGGAGGTAGACTACAAAAACAATTATCTCGGAAACTGGAGGTGGTTATGGGCCTGGGACTACAGTGAGTTGGGTGCATGGTGGAGCACACAAAATGACATCCAATTAACTAGAAAAAGGTTACAGAGACTGTTACTCTTACCGCGAGCTCTGCCCCAAGTGGTGGATATCCATATGGAGGGAGTACTGTGAGTGGATTCGATTTGAGAAGTCAAGAAAACGGTTTATTGATGAATTCTAGATCACGGAGACTATCACTCAGAATCAGACTGTAAGTTTTGGACTGATTACGATTCAACGGTATAGCTCCGCTGCTTACACAACTAGATAACTAAAACCGTCGGTGGTTATCCGACCGCGAACCAAACTGTAGGAATTTACATCATCATCGTCAAGAGGACAAGGGCTGATGTATAATAGATTACGGAGAAAATTACTGAGACAGAATCTTTCACGACAACGTGAGTATTTCAAATTGGTTTATTAATCGAGCATTTTCAATGTCTGGGTCACTCTCAACATTCAGAAGAGGTTGAATGCTCCGGAGTTTTTGACTGTTGGATTGTAGTTCAATCGAGGTTTCCATTTCAATGTTTGAAGCAATTCCAATATTTGGAAAGGGTTGAATGTTTGAAATTTTTCCATTGCTAGACTGCAGCCCGGAATATTGGATATCCTGCCGATGAATCACAATCATGAGATAGCTATGACTCGTTGCACAAAGGCTCAATACCAGAAGCATGGCTAATTTGGCTCCAGTGTTCCCGGGATCATTTCAGCGATTACGACCCTGACGGATGTTATCACAGTGGTATGTATTCTGGCTTTGCTTCAAAGTTCATAAGCTGATATCGAAAATGAATAGACCAACATATCTACAGCTAGCTTTACCGAGACTGATCTTGTCACAACAGTAATTAGCTCTGAGATCCCTTAATTTACCCATACTAATTCTCATTTTAGACTAAAAATTACAATTTCACTGCTACTCAGGTGGATCGCACAACTCAAACTAACACCATCACTGATGAGGAGACTACAACAAGTTTCATTTGGCAGACCACCATATTGACAGATGTGATCACGACGTCGATCCCATATACGACCACTTTGATTAATAGTTATGGATATCCAATTACAATAACTAAGTATAGTACCCTGACCACTACTGAAAGATATACTTCTAGTTTTACTACGACGACCACTCAGGATCATACAACTACAAAATTAAAGACGGTGACAACAACATGCACAGAGTTTGTTCCTGTATTCATAACTAAAACGATAAGTGGGTCTCTTACGACGATCACATCGTATTCCGCAACGACTTTCACCTCACTCATCACGACTGGCACGACGGATTATGAGACCGCTACGGTTACATCAAAAACAACTGATTACGTACCAACAACAATATATCAGCCTTCGACGTATACTACTACTCAAGATGTGACTGTCATTTCATCATATCCTGTAACTGTTATTAACAATTATACACTATGGGAAACTACAACGAAAGTCGATGTATCAACATATGAAACCACCAGCACGGTCACTTCAACGACTTCAATACCTTTACCCACAACGATTGATGTTTATATCACCACTACCGTTGATCATCTCTTCACATCTGTCTCCACATATACCTTGAACACAAGCTATCCGATAACTGTCATTTCCGACCACTCTACTACTTATACTCAATATACCACCGAGTATTACACTAGTCGGGAAACAGCTACATTTTCTACGACGGAAACGGATACTGAAACGGATTATGTGACTACGACCTCATATGTACCTACTACGACTGTCTCCACATCCTTCATAACTACTAGTATACCATATACTGTTATATCGTCAACAACTTTGTACATTTACAGTACTCAAACTTCCCTGATCACCCTTACGACTTCCGTACCTACCACCATCACAGATGTTTCGACTTCAGTATCAACTGATTATGTGATTACGACCTCATATGTACCTACCACAACCATCTCTACCTCCTTGATTACCACAAGTATACCTTATACCGTCGTTTCCTCAACAACGCTATATATTTACAGCACTGAGACCTCTTTGTTGACTCTCACAACCTCTGTACCTACCACCGTCACGGATATTTCGACTTCAATCTCAACTTCCGTATTAATTTCTGATGTTTACGTCTATACGACTATAATTGAGACCTACAGCACGACGGACACTTCCTATATAACCACTTCTTATCCATACACTGTAAGTGAGACGATTATAAGCGACATAACTCACAGCTTCACGGATTATATTACTACGACGATAATAGACTTATCGACTTATGTCAGCCTTTCGACTCTTACCACGAGTGTCATCGTTCCAACCACTACTACACAACTTTCTTTGGTCCCAACAACCATTACGGATTCATATTTTTCCACGGCTACAGTTACGAAGACGACTTCATATCCGTTCACTGTGATATCCTCAACGACCGAATACAGATACAGCACTTACACGACGGTTTCAACGTATACTAAGACGAGTACAAAAACTACTTCAATTCCATACACCACAACGGAGGAAATCTTGGTACCAACTACTACGACCAAAATTTCCCTTGTTCCAACTACAATCGTCTCTTCATATTTCTCCACCTCAGTTTTGACAGTTTCCACATCTTATCCTTATACGGTCTATCAAACTATCATTAGTTCAACGACTTACTATTCTACCTCTTATATAAGTACGACTTACACGACAACACAGGAAGTAACTTCTGTATCAACACTCACTACTTCAGTCCGTACCCCTTTCCAAAGGAATTTGTGATCAAGTACTGATTTTCCACTAGGTGCCCACGACAACAACCGAGACTAGTGTGATTACTAGTATAACATCGGTACACGCCCCTATCACGCAAAGTTTCCAGCTTTAGCTAATGAAGATCCAGGTCCCTACTACGACAACCGAAACCAGCGTTTCTACAAGTATCTCAATCTCAGATATCTACTCAACGTATAGTACCACCTTGACAGAATTGACCACGATCAGCGCTACTTTGACCGAAATTAATCTTTCAACGATAACCGTCTCCACTTCATATCCATACACGGTATATACTACAGTTGTCAGCGATCATACGACGACCTCAACTCAATATGTCCCAACAACATACACGCAGGTTATATCCACGACACAATATGTTCCAACAACTTATACATCCTTGATTACGAGATCTGAGAGTAAGTAGCTATTTAAGAACTATTCAGGCTGTTGACTTACCGAAAAATAGCAGCCACGGCCACAGCAACTGTAACAGATAGTGAGAGTGAGTACCTTTCAAGGTGTGAGAGTCGGATATAAGAACTAATTGGAATACAGCAATAACCGCTAGCTACACAACCACTGATTTCCAGAGTGAGTTAACATATCATATCCTTCTGTCGTGTACAATGCTGATCCGATTTAGCTACTACCACAACCGCAATATCTAGTAAGTTTAAAGCTGTATAAAGCCTTCTAATTTATACTAATCTTCCAGCCGCAACGCTCACCTCGATTGATGTCATTACACTTCCTCCCATTACCCTTACCACTTCAATTTCTGGGACCCCAATCACGATAACAGAGCCCGCATCAACAATATCCGTTACCAAGACGATCACCTCTGAGCTATTTATCACTTCTTTGGTCACCCTTCCTGCAAGTACTGTTACATCGGACATCTATTTTACTACTTCAGGTAAAACTCGTACCATTGGTTTTCTAAATTCTGTGCTAATGATGTCTAGTTCCTGGCCCAACAATTACGACTTCGATATCAGGATCTTTGACTACGATTACCTTACCTGGTTCCACCTCCGTTTTGACGGTTTCAGGGCCAACCATAACATCCAATATTTACATTACCACCTCACGTAAGTGAATGAACATCGCTAGATAGATTTTAGACTAATTGATGAAGTTCCTGCCCAAACTATCACTACTTCAATATCAGGATCTTTGACCACTGTCACATTGCCTGGTAGTACCTCCGTTTTGACAGTTTCAGGCCCAACGGTAACATCCAACGTTTACGTTACCACCTCACGTAAGTAAATAAACAATGCTAGATAGATTTCAAACTGACTTGGTAAAGTTCCTGCTCAAACCATCACGACTTCTTTATCCGGATCTTTGACTACCATCACCTTACCTGGTAGCACTTCTGTTTTGACAATTTCCGGCCCAACAGTCTCATTATCCGGATCTTTGACGACTGTTACTCTCCCTGCAGTAACATCAATTCAAACAATCGCTGGACCTACATTTACAACATCGATATCAGGATCCCTGACAACTATAACCCAGCCAGGTAGTACATCAACTATAATCCTTCCGGGATCAACTATAACCTTGCCTGGATCAACAATTCCTGGTCAGACTATAACTTTACCAGCCTCAACAGTTACTCTGCCAGGATCGGTTACCACTCTCCCGGGACTGACTACTACCATTCAAGGGTCAACCTTCACGGCTCCAGGGCAGACAATCACTTTGCCTGGGTCGGTAACTACCCTCCCTGGATCTGTAACAACTCTTTCCGGCTCAACCATAACCTTGCCCGGATCGACAATTCCTGGCCAGACCATCACTCTACCAGGCTCAACAGTCACCTTGCCAGGATCGGTTACAACACTCCCAGGACAAACTACTACCGTTCAAGGATCGACTTTTACAGCCCCAGGACAAACAATAACCCTACCAGGATCAGTAACTATCCTCCCTGGGTCGGTAACTACTCTCACTGGGTCTGTAAGTCTTCTTCCTGGGTCTACCATAACCTTGCCGGGATCAGTAACCACACTTCCCGGGCAAACTACTACCATCCAAGGATCTACTTTCACAGCCCCAGATCAAACAGTCACCTTACCAGGATCGGTAACAACCCTTCCTGGTTCAGTCTCAATCTCAACTGTGACGCAATCCATTGCCGGCTCAACAGTGACCCTCACTCAAGCAGGATCAACCGTGATATCAACTCTTCCAGGTTCCGTCAGTATCTATCCAACGACCATAAGTCTCGGCGCAACTTTGACAGGATCAACAGCATATGTAACTGGGCCCGGATCCACCGTAACCGTAACTGAATTGATAACCTGTCCTTCGCCTACAAATTCTGGTTCAGTAATTCCTCAAGACTCCAGCTCATCAGCAGTCTTTGGATGCTCACCAGGATACGTTTGCAACCCACCCAAGCCAGATCATTGTGCTTTATGGGCTGATCCACCCGCTGCAGACTATCTTTGTGAAGCCAAATACTGTATTCCATCTCCTAACACAACCGAAGTATACTGGGCACAAAACCAAACTGGGTACTACCCACCATCAGCCGGATACTTCAATCTCAACCCTAATGCATTTGGTCTTAGCTTTGGCATTTTCATTGAGAAAGTCGTTACCGAAGTCATCATTGGTAACGAAGGAACAGAACTTGTCAAGACTTACACTACCGGCGACTGGACATCCCAAACAGATATTTCTCACTACCCAGCGGGAACCCGAACCGGACTTTCTACCTCCGCACTTGCCACACCTTCCGCTCCCGCCCGTCGCGGACTTCTTCCCCGACTGTTTGCAGGAAAGCGCAAATCAGACACCGCACATCTCCTCATCAAACGGGATTCTACTGTTGTTCCTGCAGTTTGCTACTCCACGTGTAACAATGGCTACGTTGAAGCACTCAAAGTGGGCAAATCTCCCGCTCTCTGCGATCCTGACTCTGCATTCGAATCCGATTATGACGCTTGTACAGGATGTATTGATGCAAATAACAACACTGTGAAAGAAACACTGCAAACATACATACAGCCACAATTTCAACAGTTCTTGGATTTCTGCAGTGCGCAGGCACCACAGAGTGAGATTGCGGGTAGTACGGAGACTCAGGTCGTGACCAAGACCGCAACCGTCTTACCGGTTGAGGCGAGCAGCAGTACAGTCAAGCCAGCTGCCACTACTAGTGGTTCGAGTACTGCCTCGAGCTCTAGTGCTATTGCGAGCCCAACTGCAAGTGCTACCCCGAGTGTTAGTATTACGAGCCAAATTGCACCGGTTGATACGTCTTCTGCTTCCCCAACAATAATTTCCACCGATGGCAATCCATCTGGATCTTCTTCAGCGGTCGTTAGCGTCCCGACAGCTTCTGGAAGTGGAAGTGGAAGTAATAGCGAAAGTGGGACAGGAACTAGGACCGGAACCGGAAGTACATCACCATCCATAACAGCCTCGACTGTCCCCAGTGGAAGCACCACAGGCTCGAGTTCAGGCTCAGGCTCCAGTGCCACATCAAATTCGGGATCTGGCTCGGGATCTGGCTCGGGATCGAGCTCGACATCCAGCTCTGAATCATCCCTTCAATCCCAAACCTCAACCCCAACTCCTACAACGAATTCGCAAACTAGTTCTTCATCCACCAGCTCTGGATCTGCCAGTCCTTCAGGTACTGGACCTGCTGAAGGTGCTGGAGCCAAATTGAAGCCTTCAATATTCTTTACATTGATGGTGACGTTACTTGTGGGACTCATGGGCTAGCAGTAATACAATTCTTCTTCTTCTTCTTCTATTTTTTATTATTCAATTTACAGCTTCAGCATTTTATATATATTCTCACGACTGAACGACACGGATGATGGAACGAAATGAAACGAAACGAGCGACAGTCATATTTACGTATCATGATCAGTTTTATACCTTATTTCGCTTTTTGGGGGGGAAGGGGGGTATGTCTCAATAAGACATGCTCGACAAAAGACATGATACACACGTTCCTTATCTTAATCATAATCTTGACGAGGAAGAGAATGATACATTACGATCTTTACGAAAAACACGCATGCATGGATGGTATGGAAATGCCAAATCACGGTCTTTTAATTCGGTATGAATGATGAAAGCATGGATGCATGCATGGAAGGGAGAAAATGAACGGAGGAAGATACCCAATACACACTCATTTTATGGCGTTATGTTTGATTTTTGAAAGGGAAGGAAAGGAAAGAGAATGTGGCGAGTAGAGTAGAGGGTTGGATGGATGACTATCCTATCTATCTACTTGTCAAGGGAAGGATAATGTTTGATTATTGGTGGGCACTCTTAGGTTGGGATAACACATGAATGAGAGATCCAAAAAGGAGGGAAGGAAGAAAAGGATGATGGGAGGGAATTTGGTGGAAAAGAGGCGACTTTCTACTTCTCATGTATATATACTTGATATTTTGATATCTTTGCTTTGAGTTTTTGAAGCCCAGAGTGGGCTGTGAAGAGTGAAGCAAGTAATTAGGATGGTACAGAAGAAGCGGAAGCAAGTTTCGGATGTTTGGAAATGTCATAGCGAATATATCAAAGGCAATTCCTCAATTGTGTTGATTGATACTTTGTCCATCACTTGACCCCAGATGTAGATGTCGTTCTAAAACCTTCAACATCACCATTGACGTAAAATAAATTATCAGGCAAGATTAATATGTCATTTGGTATACTCTCTACCTCATACATGTCGTATGTATCCCATAAACTCCTATTCCCTTAGATGCATGTCCATTCCGTAATTTACACACATATCAAAGCAAATCCCTTCATCAACCAACCATTACAGTTCCATCTCCTTTTTTCTCCTCATAAAACTCCAATGTTAACGCCGCCAAGAAACATGGAATGCTACCTCTTTCGTTGACCCAGAACTTGATGTTTTCCATTATCCTTCCAGCAAATTTGCTTTCTGGTCCACCGCTAACCTTCATTGTTCCTCTTTCGCCGTCAAATACGATACTATTCTCTTCTTCACCAACGGAAGGATAATAGAACGATGTTACGCGCATTTTACCATTGGGCATGAATACAGCGTCCCATCCCAAGAGGGAAGATACACCGTCGCGAAATTCTTGAGACTTGAGACCCCAGACTTTCTTAAGACGATCATTTCGAGTTCTTTCATCCTTGAGTGCGGCTTGAGATTCTGCAACTAGATCTTGTTGAGTTTGAAGCGTAGATAGAGGAACTGAGGCATCAGGAGGAAGGTTGGTGGTCAGTTGAGCGAGGAGATCTGCATTTTCGGCACGGAGGGCAGTGATGGTGGAAAGTTTGATTGCCTCAAAGTCAGAGGTAGGATTGGAACGAAGGGATAGAATGCGAGTCTGTGAGTGAGTGGTTGCGACTGTAAGACGTTCTTGTGTGACAGAGAGTTCCTTCTGAAGGAGCTTTTGTGATGTTTGAAGGTTTGTGATAGTGTCCTGAAGTTTACGGTTCTTCCTAGTGAGAACCCCAATGCGTTCATTTTCGTCGTTCTCTTCTCGTGGATGTTTGGTACCCGCAAGAGCTGTTGCTGTGTTGGGTTGAGCCGATTCGGCGGTCGTGAGGTCATTCTGGAGTGATTGTACCTCTTGACGATATTCATCCACAATACTCTCGAGCTCTTCAATACGTTTAATTTTCGCATCATCAACGTTGTCGCCAGCTCCGAAAGCTTCATCTTCAGCATCGAAAGTCTTAAGCTGCGCTCGCAAATATTCAACTTCCTTGATGGCCAAAGCGCGTTGTCTCTCTAGTCGTAAACGAACCTTAGCATCTCCACCGCTGGTACCACTTCCCGCCGCGGCCTTTATTTTCTCCATCTCTTCGTTCATAGACCTCTTATCATTTTGTAGCCCGTCAATAATGTTATCCCGGTCAAGAACCTCCGACTCGATAGCACCAAGTCGCTCCACTAAAGTAGCAGTTTGCATTCTTTCTTCAACAAGTGCTCTTGCCAGATCTTCTGGGGAATTGAACTCAATACGACCTTCAACATTGCTCTGATTTTGAAGGTATGCGGTCCACGCTAAACGCTCATCCTCAAGTCTTTGTCTTTGAAGTCTTGCTTCTCCAAGCTCATTCTGTAGATCATCCATAGCCTCAACTTTTCTCTGTAAAGTTCGTTTCTCTTCTTCAACAACCTCCACACTCTTATGCAGTCTCTTGTAATGCTTTAATTCGGCCGATTGTTCTCGATTAATTGCTTCTAGGTTTCGAATATGTGTGACTTGCTCGCTCAATTCTCTCTTGATCACCTCCAGTGTATCGGTATCTCCCGTTTGCGCCTTAAGTCGTAGTATTTCAGCCTCAAGTGCTCCATATGATGTATCTTTTTCGGCCAATTGTTGCTGAACATCCTGTAACAAGGCTTCTCTTCGATCGGAATCCTCCTGTAAATCTTGGACGCTGCGTTGTAAAGTCTGATTTCTCGTTTCAAGCTCCGAAATTCTCCTTTCCAATATACGACTCCCTTCCTCGCTCTCAGTCTTCACATCCTCAATTTCTTCTTCTAGGAGACGCTTGCTCTGCTCCACCTCACGCACTCTTTTCTCCAGTGCTATCTTCTCGTTACTTGAAGTGTCGCGAAGTTCACTCATCTCTTTAACCAAGGCTTCCTGTTGCCTCACTGCCTGATTTCTTTCTCCTTCTGCAATTTGCTTGTGCTTGAAATCCTCTTCAGCTTTACGCGTCGCATCCCGGAGCTCATTTTCATGCCTCAGTTTCGCAAGCTCTTCCTCTTGCTTGTGATTATCAATTGTGTATTTCAACGTCTTCACCTCGGCCTTTAATTCATCCAATTCTTTTCTTCTTTTTTCCGCCTCTTGATCCGTCTCGGCGTGAGTTGGCTCTCTTCTAGATTCATCGAGAATGGTTCGGGTTGATTGGCGAAATCGATCTGTTCGCGAGGGCGGTCTATGGGTAGATTCCGCGCCTGTCAAGAAGTCGAAACTGGGTTGAGTATTCGATGGTCGTGCAATAGACATCTAAAGAATCGTATTCCCGTGAGATGATGCAATTGTATACAAATGAGATTGCAAGACAAAAAGATTAATTCCTTACCCTGGATTGCGCACGAGGAATAGCACTACCCATACTCATTCTATTACCGCCGCTAGTCGAGGATCTCCTTCTTTGAGAATCTCCCAAACCTTGAGGAGTATGCGCCCTCATCTCTGATACGTACCGCTACCTGCGGATTTATGTTTTGGCGTTACGTCGATAGTTGTCGCAAACACGAATCTGTGATGCAAGGCTGAGAATGGAGAGGAGATAAATATGTATTACATAATCAAGGTACCGGAGAAGATAGAAAATATGGGGAAATGGTTGGCGGGGTGAAGAGTGTTGTAAGTGAATTTTGAGAGATGGTTAGAACATAAGCTAACACACACCACGGCTACGTAGAGAGGTAGACAGGTACGTGGATGTACTAGGTGGGTAGGTAGGTAGGTAGGTAGGAGGTAGGGTATTCGACGATTTACCATTCATTATGTGCAGTCTCAAAGGATGCTCTTTCAATGATAAAACTGGCTGGAATAGGAACATGAACGTGGATTGATCTTAGACAATTATCAACTCTTCCTCCAGTCTATTCCGACCCTAGGTTATCAATGAAATCCATGGATCATCTGAACGTCTCCCTTTTTCCTACATAGCATCTAGGCGAGATACTCGATAAGACTTCTCGATCTGTAATATGTAATTAGTAATCTAGATATATACCACCAGTACCTGCCTAGGTGCATGTGCGTGCATTTATATTACCAGGTATTGGGTACGGACTCTCTTCCCAAAACTCTCACCTCACAAGTCTGCTTTTTAACTTTATAAGACCAAGACTTGTCCAATTGATCTGTACCTGGCTCCCTGGCTGACTTTGGCTTGGCTCGGTCTGGCCCCTCCCGCTGCTAAGCAGAAACATCAACGCCAACAAAAGACTCAACACGGGGCACCACCACACCAACTGCTTGCTGACTAAGATTGTCTTCGAGAAAGAAAAGGTGGGTTTCCGTGCCCTTGATAGCTCCATACTTTCCCATGGAGATGGAGATTCAACAACGTATTCATATGGCGAAATACAGCCGGTGACACTTTCGCAGCGACTTGCTGCTTCAGATTTATTCTTCCAACAACAAACAAAAGTACTTCACATGGGATCACATCTCCTTAAAAACCCAACACCATGGCAACCCGAAAGCTCCCTGTACTGGCACAAATCCCTTCCTATTGTTCTGTGCTCTGTAGCTAACAGCTCTTTGGCAGGCTCTGAGATCAGCTCTCAGATCAACCAGAGTAGGCTCCTCAGTATCATACGCTCAGGCAAGATGTCCATATCAATTGATTCATCACACTTTCTCTACGACGCACAGTCCTGCCATTGCTTCCAAAGAAACTACAGACTCGCAAACAAAATCCGCACATGAGGACTCCACTGGTCCAACATCTGCCAGATCTTCCTCGCCTTCCTCTTCTCCATCATCAATTCCGGCCAGCGATATTCCAGCACCGGCAGATTGGGAAGAGAATCCGAACTACAATATCGAGAAGTTCTCAGAACTGCCTCATTCTAATTTTGGGGTCAATCAGCACATGGTAATCAACGATGAGTTCAAAGAAGCTTTGAGGCAGATCCTATGGCAATTCAGAGCCCCTATTAGGTATGCATTTGCGTATGGATCCGGCGTCTTCCCTCAATCGAAACATACGAAAGCGACACCTTCAAGCATTACATCCATCCATTCGAAACCACCCCCAGCAATTGTTGAACAACAAGGGGGCACCCCTAAGATGATTGACTTTATATTTGGTGTATCTTACAGTCAACATTGGCATTCCCTGAACTTGAATCAACATCGAGATCATTACTCGGCGCTCGGCTCCCTCGGGTCTGGGGCTGTCACTGCTGTGCAAGAGAAATGGGGAGCTGGTGTCTATTTTAATCCATACGTTACGGTCAACGGCACTCTTATTAAATATGGTGTTGTTAATCTGGATACATTGTGTACAGATCTTTCCGAGTGGTCAACACTGTATCTTGCAGGGAGGTTACAGAAGCCCGTCAAAATTCTCCGGGACGACGCAAGAGTCCGTCTTGCGAATCAGGTTAATTTAATCTCTGCATTGCGAACAGCATTGTTACTTTTACCTCCTGAATTCACCGAACAGGAATTGTATGGCACCATTGCAAACATCAGTTACTTGGGCGATCCAAGAATGGTTTTACCGACAGAGGATCCGTCAAAAGTCGCCAATATTGTTGGGAATAACCTTCCCCACTTCCGCCGTCTCTATGCGCCTCTCATTGACAACCTTCCTAATGTCGGCTTTAACGATTCTAAGTGCTCTGATCCAGAATGGGCATCTGATCCATCAACAAATATACGGTTAACTCAAGATATGGACCCGATTCGACGGGGAAACATGGTGAGACGTCTGCCAAAATCATTCCGATCGAAGCTCTACTTCCAATATCAGAAGAAATACCAAATTCCTCGACTAGAATTTGATCAAATGATTGAGGCGTCGCGTGATGAAGACGGGACCAGGATTAATAGAAGAGAAGGAGGTGGATTTGAAAGAAGGATTGCCCGAGAACCTCCAGAAGATTTAAGATCTGAAGTCCGAAGTGTAATCAAGAACACAATTGGGTGGCCCAGTACGAGTCAGAGTTTGAAGGGACCCTTCACAGCTGGATTCCGTCGAACTTGGCGGTATATGAGTGAAAAGATGGCGAAGCATGCGGAAGGGAAAAAGAAATTGGAGGAAGCAAAGGAGAAGAAACAAGATTGAGCATTATGCCAAGACATTGTTTTGATGATGACACGATTAAACGGTGAGCTGTATGCTGTGATGTGTGCTGTAAATAGACCGAGTCTATCTTAGACTCATTACACGGCTCCTTGGTAAAGGATGTATTGGAGACCTGGGCCGTTAAACGCTTTTTATGTTGAAGGGCGGCTTTGCATACATATGCAAGTCAAGCATTTGGGAACTGCTAGACAGGTATTGGATGGTTAAAGGTTGGTGGTATTACTTGTATGCTTTGCATGAGAACCAGGACTTTGAGAAATGGACATTACTACGTTAGCAAAAGTTATCCTATACCTTCTCAGTTGCGTCATCTGGTTTCAATATATCAAGCCTCTTTGTATCATGTTATACTCGCCGTTGTTGCACTTTTCTGTTCGAGTCGATTACAATTCGCTTGGCACTTTCAGCCTCGAATTTCATTACATTCGGCTAGGCCTGATCAGTGGATACTTTCTCGATGTTCTAATCATGCAGCAATATATTATATCTACATTCAATGCTATTGTATGTAATTATTAGACTAGTCACAAAGCCGTTAGGTAGTTGCGATCATGACAAAACTTTAGCTCTTGGGAAGGGAAACGGAAGTATCCATCCGTCTTGACCACCCTACTATCTACGTGTCCGCCACTTGTTTTTCATGAAGAAATAAAAAGGTAGAGACACCATTCTCAATTCAATTCATCACTGTCATCTCAACTCTCGTCATTATTTCCATCTGTTTGATGGTTATTGAACAAACAAATACAAAGTAACTTGGCTTCAACATGGTATTTGATCTTCCGCGTATCATTTTAGGAACTAGAATCTGACAGGGATAGCACATCTTAATTATTGGCTGCGGGCTTGCTGGCCTCACCATATCTATTGCACTTGCAAAAGGAGGTCATACTGTGCAGATACTGGAAAGTTCTGAGCGAATCTCATACGTTGGAGCTGGTAAGTGACACGGGTGCACTCATTGCAATTCAGCACACCGATTTGATGTGCATCTGTTCACGATTTGTAGGTATTCAGGTCACACCAAATTCCTCAAAGGTTCTTCGTAAGTTGGGAATCGATTCATATATTGAGAAGTATTGTACAAACCCAGTGGATTTGAGGATGATGCGCTGGAAAGATGGTCAGATTCTTGTCGAATGTCCGTTGAAAGAGCCTGCGAAAAATGATTACATGTCTCCATATTGGTTAGTTAAACTCACTCGATTTTACAAATGGACTAATAGAAGATAGGCATGTCCATCGTGCGGATCTTCATCGTGGATTACTTGACGCTGCGACGAATCTTGGTTGCAAAATTCGATTGAACAGTCGTGTCGTCAATATTGATCCTTCCTTGCCCGCGCTTTCCACGCAAGATGGCAAAATTTACTCTGCGGACTTGATCGTCGCATCTGATGGTGACTAGTCTAACTACTGGCTCTTTTAATATCTTAAGTCTGACAGTCAAAATGCAGGTCTACATTCAATGGCCCGCGAAGTCATTCTAGGCAGAGCTGGAGCACCCATCCCAACTGGTCAAATGGCATATCGTGTAGTACTGCCAGCCAAAAAGCTTGAAGGCATTCCTGAGTTGGAGGAGATTATCTCCATTCCTCGAAACAATCACTGGCTTGGTCCTAATGCGACCATTTTATCATATCTGCTGGAGGGAAAGGAGGAAAAACTATTGAATCTTGTCTTCACGTCAGTACATTCCTTTCGGTGCTTAGCTTGACAATTTTGGTGACGATTTCAGGTGTGATGCAAATATGCCGGATGGAACAAACCAGCGGATCCAAAGCAGTGCAGAGCTTCGAGACAGATTCAAAGATTGGGACACAAGGTAATTGCGAAGTTGCAGGGGGAAATTACATCGATTGACGCATAAACAGAATTGGAATGATCCTTGATCATGTGGATACCGTGTTAGAATGGAGGGTAGTATTACTGTCCTTAATTATGATAGACTTGCTAACGCATACGCGCGACAGCTGTATACTCATGAAGAACTAGACAACTGGGTTCATAACTCAGGAAAACTTTGTCTGATTGGAGACGCAGCTCATGCTATGACACCTTATCTCGCGCAAGGAGCAGCCATGGGTATCGAGGATGCAGCTATACTTGGCGCGCTTCTGGAGAAGTTTCCTACTAAGGATTCTCTTCCAGAAGTATTATCGATGTACTGTAATCTTCGACGAAAGCGGACTGCGAAGGTTGCTAAAGCCTCAATCGAATCACGATACTTTACACAAATGCCTGATGGAGATACGCAAAAACTCAGGGATGAATATCTATTGACCCATCCTGGTATTTGGCAAGGACATATGAATATACGGTCTCGGCAGGAATTCTTGGATGAACTATTTGGTTATGATGCCTACAAAACCTTGGACCATATTTCTGCGGTACTTTGACAGTATTGCGGCTGGAGATCAATGTGATCACATTATTGGTAGAGCTTAGACCTCGTTTATCCGGATAAATACTAGCCTAGCATAAGACGCTTCGTCACAATTCATACCAATCAAATTATATCTCTATCATCAAATCACCAGCATACAGCAACAAACAGTCACACTATGCCAATAACGATATAAGCTTAATAACTTAATCTGCACATCGTGGTTGATTGCATATTCTGCCCCGAGAAAATTCTTCAATGGCCGCCTTGGTAGATCTCGCTTGTCAAATCATCGATCAGGTTCAATTTAAACGGTAAAATGAAAATGTAACCAAAGTTGGTTCTGATTTTGGAAAAAGGTGGTAAATCGATGCTGATCAACGCTTGGCAGTATGAAATCCAATAGACGTCAGTGCCGGGTGCCGTCTGGACTTGAAGCTTTGCAGTAATTCAATCGCTTATGAATCTGTGAGAATGGCTCGATTGGTTGAAAGAAATAGTACTCAGTGGATTCGATACATTTCGTCGCTCATGAACTTTTGATACTTTTCATCGATTTAGTGGACAGAGCAAATTACAGAATCTAGTTTCTTCTTGGTTGGGCTACAAACAGTTGCGAATGTTGGTTGGCAAACAATCCGGACATCCGATAGAAAGAGGTTAGGGCGGGCGAACCATACTGACGGGACGATGTAGTTGGTAATTTGTGCTCCGAAAGCTGTCGACTTGAAGTATTTATGTACCGACAATCTTCACTTATTTCCTGAAAATTAATTCAATAGCAGAAACTTCGATTGCCATTAATCCCGACGGCAGACGATCCATGATAGCAAAAATCACATCATGAGTCCTAAAGGGGGTAGCGAAAAGATAACATCGGCAAATCTTGAGATTAGTAGCACGATTCGCAAGCGTCAGCTATCTTCTTAGATCATCATGGTCTACCGCTTGTCCCCCAGCCTAGTTATTTCAAAGATGATCCTCTTGTTGGTTTTTATAATTTTTCCGTCACCAATCATATTTCCAAGAGTCTGTAGTGCAGTCTGATGATGAAGAGCTTTCAATGTCTAAGAATCATTTCATATTAAAAATATATTCAAACTTTGAGACACTGGGGTTTCCTGGTTCCATTAAGGTCTCGAAAGCTTACGAGTGTCAAACTGCAGTTCGGATTATTAGATTTTGGTCAAAAATTCCCGCGGTTAACACTTTTCAGAATTGGCCTGTTTGGTTGAAATGGACAGTGCTGATTCAGGTTAGTTTCATGGTATAATCCTAGCTTGGTTCTTTTTAGCAAAGCTATGGATGTGAGCTCCAAGACTACTGCGTACAGCACAACCACATATGTAATCATTGGTGGCCTCTCTGTAAGCAGGTCATATGGTCTCCTATACCAACAAATACCTGACTAACATTCAACAGCCTGTCATCTGGAACCCTTGTACTAATATTTATGCTCGTCGGCCAAGTACTCTACTTGCGATGTTAACCACTGTCATCGGTGGAATCGGCTCTGCCTGCTCGCCAAATTTCGCTACACTCGAACACTTGTAATATGCAGTGTCGGAATGGGCGGTATAATGTCTGTAGATACAGCTGTTTTCAACGATATGTTTTTTCTCCACGAGCGAGGAGAGAAAATGTGTGTCTATTCCATATTTGTGACAAATGGCGCTCAGATCGCAGCACTCATCGGTGGCTATATAGGCCAAGCAGGTGGTTGGCAGTGGGATTATGGGTAGGTGCTATTATTACTGGTTCAGCTCTTTCCTTTGCTATTTTCTTCTTCCCAGAAATGATATTCTGTCGCGATACCGTGGCTCTTGCTACGAAAAGACCCGAGCGAACGTACTTTATGATGTTCTTCAATTTCAAGGGGAATAAAAGCACTACGAGAAGTCTACGCATGCGGGACTTTTCGTATGCATTCCGCATGTTTAGTTACCCATCGGTCTTGTTTACATTCTGGTACTATACATTAGCTTGGACATTTATCAATGTTCTCCTTGCCATTTCTCTAGCCACCATCTACATCAAATTCTACCATCTCAAAAGCGGATCAATGGGTGTCTCTCTAGGTATCTTTCTCACGATTGGCAGCATGATAGGCGAGCTCTGTGCTGGTTGTGCTTCAAATGCCATCATGTATCATATGGCGCAACGACATAATGGTGAGAGAAAGCCGGAGTATCGTTAATTTCTCTCGCCGTTATATGCAATGTCTATGCCTGCTGGACTTTTAGTATTCGGGGGACTTTTGGGAAAACGGGGTTTGTGGGACCTTTGGTTGGGCTGGGGATAGGTATGTTTCCAGTGATCTTCCTACCTCCTGCCTATCATGATACTAGAAGCTTACAAATCATCATATATAGGTTCTTTCGGTCTTCAATTATGCTCTACAGGGCTCTACTTTTACATTTCCGATTTTTATAAGCCACAGACCCCGGAGACAGGAACACTTTTTAATCTTTCGAGAGGATTGTCATCTGTAGTGGGTTATTTTGCTTTGCCTCTAGCTGGAAGTATCGGCTATTTCTGGGCGTGGTTTATCTTCGCTAGTCTTATGGGATTGAGTTATGTACCAGTGGGAATGTTGATATGGTTGGGAGAAAGTTAGAGAGAGAAGGAGGGAGATGGAGTGGGGTGGTGATGTACAGTTCAGAAGGTTTGTTTCAGTTGCTAGGCTGGGTTTTTAATACTGAATCTCGAAATAGTCATTCGAGCAGACTCAAATGTAGAATTTGTTTGACAGAAATAGTTCCAAGCGAGATTTGAATGTCTGCTTCTAGATAGAACATTTTGGAGACTTGAATTCTCCCACGGGATCTATAAAATAGGCAGTAAAGTAGATCAAGGCTCGAGGGAGGAGCTCCTATCCAATTGGAACGTGTTTGTCCTGTTTGCCATGTTTGTCCTGGTTACTCAAACTTATCGGACTAGTAAAGACTAGCCGACTTCCTTGTTTAACCTCCTTGTCTTTCTCCAATTCATTCTCTCCTATTCCTTTAGGAGATGTGGAAAGTTGGAACGCTTTAGTTCTTATGTGGAACTACTTTTTGCGCGGCGTCATACCGCCCTGGAATGAGATTGGATTCGATTAGAAACACAGAAAAAAAGTATACGGCTAAATCACTAGAACGAAAATGTACCTTAAACGACAGTGATTATTCTAGTTTTGCCCGCGGCAATGTTACTCAAAACCGTTTACATGACTGAATCAATGACAAAGAAACAGAAGATTAATGACAACGAACGATTTACTTCTACTAGAAAAATACGTTGCTGACTCTCGCATCTGATCTATCGGGGCTCGTTAGTCTACAGGCTCACGGCGCACAGATATGACACCCTTCTCCCGAGGTAAGCATGCACAGAGAAAACAGCCAAGAAAAAATTTGCGCATATAAATGCATGATTGCAGCGCAGCTTGTGCGGTATGAAGAAAAAGAAAAAAGAGAAGTTGACAAGACAGAAGAACGTTTAGATAGAAAAATAGCGTGGTCCGTGCGAGCTCAATCGAGGGCTTGAATTCTAGACAAACAGGACAAACTCGTCCTAATCGAGTATGGTGAAGTTTCGAGGCCAAGATATACTCTAGTAGTAAATCTATAGGCCGTTGAAAAGAGATCGAGGTGATTTTTACGCCTTCATGATGTTCTCAATGGGGTTGAACATAGACTTTCTAATTCTTTCTGTGGTTCTTATTCACAGAGAGAGAGTATTTTCGTTTCTCTGAACGGAAACATACTACATCAAACTAACGGATATGAGTAACATGAGCAATATGAATTGCGCTAGGCCTGATCTAGATGAGTTTGTCCTGTTTGCTCAAATTTGAGCTGCGCATCGGGCTCGCACGGACCAGGCCCTTTTACCATTTATACCTTCTCTCACTCCCCCTGTTCTCTCCTTTCTTCTCCGATATCTGCCACCGGATTGTGGGATCGGCCCGGCAAGATGTGCTGTCTTTGATCGGTGGCTAGGTGTGTGTGCGGGAGCATCTTCACATATTCCTGCCGAAAAAGAAACATACTGCTTGTGCTTCTGAGATACCTGTTGTAGTGATTCCCACCGTCATCGGATCGTTTTACTTCATATGAGAGTTTGGAAGTAATAACAATGATTAAGGCAAGAGCTTAGTAGCGACATGATTGACGGTTTTGAGTTGAAACAACGACAAAAGAATGGCACGATGCTAATTTCGATTTTAAGGCTACTTTTTGTTGTCACTAGGTACTGCTACTAAGCGATTATAGCTCTATAGACCCCTTTGTGGTAGACTTGACTGATTATTGCTACTTCAGATAGAGCAAAGTAGGATAATGGTTATGATAGGTGACTCGGTGCCTTCCCAAGCTCGAGGGATAGTGTACACCTCTTTTGCTTCTCTCGGCTCCTAGACTCTACCGTATACCGTGGAGTCAACCGAAGGGTCAAACTCACACGGAAAACTACATTCGTCTAGTGACTCTTTATTCTTTCACTGTCAAATTAAAATTTCCTTTGTTGTTCTTAGCACAATTCTTGATACTATAATCATAAGGTTCCACAGTCACTGCAAACATTTGTCACCCATGAACAATGTGCTTCTCTTCAGATTTGTTGGTATCAACTTGGGTTGATAAAGTGTATAGTACTTTAGTCTATTGTGTTTTCATTCATGCTTGATCATTATTACTATGGGAAGCTAGTACTTAATATAGTAGAAGTGCTAGCGCTAGTGCATACGCTAGTACATACGCTAGTTGCAATACAGTGCCCTCTTAGATCACATGATCAATATCCCGACAAGATTAAATTCATCGATTAAAGCTTGCTTGATCTCAAAGTCTCAGTTATAGCAAAATAATACAACCCCCAAAGCCACGTTCGCAGCTACATAAGAACGCGCGAGACAAGCTCCAGCCCCCTGGCTTCTTCAAGAAAAGAGTGACTGACGTGTATAGAGGAAGAAAGGAAGGACGGAAGTCGACTTTTTATAGTTAGATCTTAGACCTAGGGCCTATTTGGGACAAGTTTGTCCTGCTTGCACACTTTGATCAGGCTAGCATGGACCAGCCCATTTTCCTATGTATACTTCGTTCTACCATCCCTAATGTTCTTTTCTCGCCACTTTCTAGTCGAGACGCATCTGGGATATTACAGGTTCCAGGTGACTTTGAGAATTTCCAGAAGAGACTCTTCTTTGTTGGTAGATTTTGCTGTGGCAAAGCAATGATCGGTGCTGTTGGTGGTGCGTTTGTAAAGAGACAAAAACTAGAACATCTATCATGGAATTGTAATCATGGATCGGGGTGTTTGTTGCTGCATAATATATCAGTTTTATTGTCAATTACTCACCCTTTTTTTGTTGTCACTTCACTAATCTCATCATCATCTTCACCCGCTTATTGTCTCTATCTTCGTATTTTTGACAGCAAAAGATTTCAAGAGCGAAATCAGGAAGCCGTGAAAAGTTGCAAGAAGCCTCGTAGAAAGGCGAGTTCCAAATCTCTCCCTTGCCCAGCAGAGTATAATCCAGAGTTCATAATCCTCGTAGCCGTTCCATCAACCATCGAGGTGTTGGTAGTAGAAGGCTAGAGAGATTCCCGAGGCGTATCTGTAGTAAACATCATCATCATTTGTACTGAGCTAATGCAACAGGGCAAATCAAGCTTGGTGTTCTAGAGTTCTAGAGGACCACTAGTTCGAAAATAATATCAAATCGAACAGAATTGTTCGCTCCGTACTAATTTGAGAGTGAATTTGATTTGTATAAATCAGCCTATTTTCCTATATATACTCAGTTGTATTCCCTCTTCTTCATTTCTGACAACTAGATACTGTTTGCGTTATATGGCACAGCATGTCTCTAGTTTTCCAGCCGAAAATCTGGAAGTAATTAATACTTATGATAGTATAGTAAGAATAGTGAGCAAGCTTTCCAAGATATAGTTATAAAGTGAGACGAAGTCAGTCTATCGTTATATGTTTTAATATTACCATTATCTTTTTCTCGAAGTATTACCAAATACTCATCATTCTCTGTATATAGGAGGTGAAATTAAAACGACAATAGTTAATCTAAACAATTTAATTACAGCTAGGTACCTAAGCTTTCCTATATATCTTGATGTTTGAAGTATTTCCTTACATCATCTCCGTTGAAAGTCTCGTGTATGGTCTTTAAATTAGATTCCCACTGTAGATCAAAATGGCCAGAAATCTTGAGCCTCGTGTTTAATATTTCTGACTAGCCATACGACATAGTCTCGCCTATTGACACTAACCCCCTTTTCGTAACGCCTCTTCCAAACTGCAATATTCCTGAATCCACCTAGATTGATTCTGGACCAAATCTCAATTCTCCATCAATCGAGACTTAAACATATCTGAAACCCCACTTCAAATCAAGCAATTCTTCATACCAAGCCACATCATAAAAGCGATCGTTACTCAAACCTTCGCTGCGTCACTTATGAGACCGGAGATATCGAGGTTTGGCCGGGAGACAAAATCCGAATACAAACTTGTCCTATGCAGTAAAAGAATTTGAAAGTGTGAAGGGCTCGTGAGAGTGTAGATTGTGGTGTTACTCTTGTAGAATACTGAATGTTAGACATATCACACCACGGGAAGTTTCGTGACATATTTAGCATTGTGGAATCATTTCACAGTGTTCGAAATCTTGGACTGGTGTTTATGATATCATTTCCTACCGCAGTCTTAACACATTATATCTGATTCATAAAATCGAATGACGGATTGATGATAAATAGATAGAATCTAAGTAGTCATGTGAAATTTAAATGCAATTCATCACTAGCGCAAACCTCTATTCAGACGCATGAAGCAACCCCTAACGCGCAAAATAATTCACATTGACGAAAAAAATGGAAACTCGAAGTACTGTAGCAAGCCATTCTCGAAAATTGGTTTTCAAAATCCGATTCAAGACATTAGAGACACTGCGGTATGCGATCTGTGTCACATGCCATCCGTACCTTCCTCCTCCAACCCCGCGTCCGACAGTTTTCTCTTAACTCCGAGATTTCCTACCTTTTTACAACAAACCTCCTGCTTTTTAAATTGAGAATTTTCTCTAAAAATACATATTTTTCCCTATAGATAACTTTTTTCCTCCATTGTACCAGAGCTCTGTATACTCTCTCTCTCCCCCTCTCTCTTTCTCTCTTACCCACAACAACGTAACTTCTACCCTTCAGATAAAGATGCCTATTCTCGCAGGTAAAGAAACATCTCACAATGGCCTAGGTCTCATGCGTAAATCTCACCTTCAACTTACCCCTCCATCCAAACCATTTTCAAGCCATCGAACTCTCACTAATCTCCCTAGGAATGACCTGGCGCGGCGCGCAAACCCCCGACAGCATTTCCTTCCCCGTCCTGAAAGCCGCTCTCGCAGCCGGAGTAAATGTATGGAATGGCGCCGATTTCTACGGTTCTGCAGAAAATAACTCCCTCCATCTCCTCGCGCGCTACTTCGCAGCATATCCGGAAGATGCTGAGAAAGTGGTTCTCTGTATCAAGAGTGGGTTTGCGGATAGGAAGACATTCAAGCTGGATAGTTCGCCGGCGGCGGTCTACAAGTATGTCGAGAATGCGAATAAGATCTTAGGAGGTCATAAACACATTGATCTGTTTGGCATGGCTAGACAGGATAAGATTACGCCGATTGAGGATACTGTTAAGGCTTTGCATGAGTGCGTCAAGAAGGGTTTGATTGGCGGGATTCAATTGAGTGAAGTCTCAGCCAATTCCATTCGGCGAGCTAGCGCAGTGGCAAAGATCGACATGCTCGAGGCAGAGATTAGCTTGTGGGCTACAGATGTCTTTGAGAACGGCGTCGCAGAAGCATGTGGAGAGTTGGGAATTGTGATGGTTGCTCATACACCGCTTGGAGCAGGCATGCTGACGGGTCAGTTCAAGAGCTTGGATGATTTGCCGGAGAGTGATCCTCACCGTCACTTTCCCCGTTTCCAGCCAGAAAACTTTGACAAGAACTTAGAACTGGTGGAAGAGTTAGGAAAGTTAGCTTTGGATAAGGGCTGTACACCCGCACAGTTAGCTTTGTGTTGGATTAAATCGCAGAGCAAGAAGCCAGGCTATCCTCCCATCATTCCAGTATTCGGAGCCAGATCTGAGTCTCGGGTTCAGGAGAATACTACAGAGGTTGAATTGACGGACTCGGATCTCGATAAGATCAATGGAATTCTAGCTAGCTTCCCGGTGCAAGGGCATAGGTATCCAGCTGCGGTTGCTTCTCTTTGCGAGTATTAGGACTGGATCTGCATTATTATTGTCGTGACACAGGGCGAAGTCACGGTAGGTAGCAGAATCGATGAAATTGCATCATACATCAATTTCGCATGACGTGACTGCAAACTCACCATGTGATTATCGATGAGACCGATTTTTCTACAATAGTGTCAACAAAACTCCTAACAACAAACCTATATTTGAGCAAGCAAGATAGGATCCTATAATCCAAGACAGCTCTTCCATTTCTCCTCTTATTCAATCTAAACCTGGTGACCCTCTTGTGTATTTCCACGACTTATACTCATCACCTTTCTGCTTGCCCCCGTACCAAGAAACTGTTCAAAAAGAAAGAAAAAAAACAGCAACGAGAGACAAGCAGCGATCAAGAGAACCCCAGAGCAAGAAATAACATAACGTAAGATCACAGATGCCCGCAGAATCACACAAACCATTAATTACTCGGCCTAAGATGCAGATCTCCATACTACCTCTCACTAGGCACTTGTATGACCTGTATGTACTACGTACGACCTGTAACATGTAATCGAGACACTGTCGCAAGCCATACCGATCCCAGCTGGTGCTCCTGTCCCTTTGGTTCCCGGTCTGTATAGCAGGAAATGAAAGGAGATGTGCTGTATCGTACCTAGTTTTCACTCCGGTAATACACATGATGGTTTTTTATTTATTTACGGGATTGAAAGAGCTACCGGTAGGTAGGTATCTCAATCGCATCGCATCGCACTGTACTGTTCCACGGTTTCACGGATTCACGGTTTCGTAGTTCCATCACCATCATCATTATCATGAAATAAATGTATGCATATATCAACAAAAGCCTCCTGCATTGACTGACTAATCGACTAACTGACTGGCATGGCAAAACGAAAATTCAACGAAACATCAACTCTTCGATTTCCCACACAGTTTTCCGTTTCTCCTCCCCAGCCTCTCGCTGGTGTTCTCCTGGCTTTTCTATCTGCTCACTGGCAGTCATCATCCCCACAAGCCGTTGTACCCTTGGTCAATTTGCCATACTCTCTCGACCTCTGATTCCCCGTCTCTCTCTTCTCAGCCATCTCAATCCCCACACTCAAAAACAACAACAGACACAACTCAAAGTACGAAACGCTCACTCAACAGCCCGCAACTCAAATTCATTCGTCAACAATAAGTCCATCCACGCAGCAACATCAACAAACACGCAGTCAAGGTAGAAGAAATAATCAGATGCAAGCAAAGAGGAACTATTGTGTCTGGGCCTGGTGCAAAAGATATGATTGGGCAGTAAAGCCTTCTCAAATACCTTCACATCCAACTCAATAACAAAAAAAGGAAATAACAAGAAATACGATGAGAAATCCATCAATGACACATGTAAGAAACACCAGGATCCGCGATTGGCGAGATCATGTACCCATCCATCCCAATCCATTGCAATCCGGTTCCCTTGTTGCCCATTTGTCCATCCATTCAATTCATCCATCATTACCATGCCCGAAATCCGCAAAAAAGAAGTAACCGAGACCAAATCTAACTCCGTCACCAAAATTCAATGTATTTTTTTCCCGTTCCATCCTAGACCAAACCTAGATGCAAGCTTTTTCCATCCATCCATCTGATCCATGTTGATCCATCCTGTATGTGTGTCATATCGAGGTGATATGAACCCGATCCCATTCGATTTTGTAGTATTCCCCCAAGTGAAATATCCCAATCAAATATGCTAACATGATCCTTTAGCCTTCAATTCTTTCCTATTCCTTGCGCCAATCAATTCCATAATCAGGGTGTTTTCTGCAGATACATCAAGCAACCAAGCGATGAGCCAATCCATTATACTCCAGCTGACAATTGAAGAAATGTGCAACCATGAAATGCGATGCGCAGACAATTAAAAGTGAACCAGAGCGGAGAAGGGAGAAAGATAAGACGGGGCTCACGAGTACTGCAGCCTAGTGTAGCACACGTGTTGTATCGCGTGTTAAATTGCGATTAGTCCCTCATGTGAAATGGCTAGCTGATATTGAGTTCCTGTGCCAGTGCCATTGTTGGAAAATAACCCTTTGATTCCGGGACTCCTTCCCACCTTCCACAATGTCTACCCAAAGAATCTTGTGCACCACTGATACTCGGTAAAGAGTAGCCACCAGTATTGTATTCTTGCTTGATTTTTCCTGGCACATATTCTGGAAGACTAGGCAATTGGTTCCGTGGCTCTGCGCCCTCCCATATTGGAGTTGGGTAGTACATATAGCAAGGAGCATCCTCAATGCTTTTGGCTTCTTCAGCAGAAAGAGTAGGTTCCATAGGAATTTGAAGAGGTCCAGTGCGATAATGGTGGGATCGACCATCGTAAGAACCGTAATTGTTAGAACCGGGAAGCATGGAGGAAGTTCCAGACATGGTAATATCGCCCGGGGTGCGAGATGATCCAGATGGTGTGTATGAACCACCACCAGCACCACCAGCGCCTCCAGGTCCAGAACTTGCATTGCTACCGCGTCTTTCGCTCTGGTAATGCCCGGGTGAGCGACCACGCACCACCATTGGTGCGGACATACGAACCGCAATCTTTACCCAGCGTTCCGAATGATTGTGATTAGTACCCAAATCTGCAAAGAGTTCTACAAGCAGGTGATAATACTGTTGAGCAGCTCTCCGTTTTCCGTTATTCGCGGTCGCATTCTTGAATTGGATGCGCTCGAAAGTTGCCTCATTTGGTGGTGAGCTTGGTGACTGACCGAAGGATCCATCGTACATTCCGCGCGGCCCACCACCAATACCGTTGTCGCCGCCATACATGTTATGTGTTGTGTGCGGTCTTGGGGCCACCGCGATTCTTGGCGGCTTATCTTGTGGTCCTTTGTCTCGTTTGGGAGTGTGCTGAACCAATTCTATTGACTTTCCATCGCGCGAATCTACCACTGCAGCTATGGACATCGCAAACTGCTGTACCTGCGGTCTCATTCCACCAGACAACAAGAGATATACATTTGCTCCCGGAACGATAGGTTGAAGAGTAAATGAGCAACTCAGCGAAAAATAGTTTCTTCTATAGCAGGTCCAATCGTTTTCTGCCATGAAAAATCCTTTATCAATTTTGCCAAAGATTTCTGGAGTGATGATCTGTCCGTCAGCCGCCTGCAAAGTGAGGATCACTTCTGTCGGATTTAGAGGAGGGGTGAGTGGCCCTCCAAGTTGGGAACCCTCCATATTCGCCGGACTTGCGAATCCGCTGTTAGATGGTGATAACGGTACGCCTCTCACAGTTCCAGAGGTTGACGGAGATCTTGAAATTCCGTCCGTTCTTCGTAAATGTGGTGTTGCACTTGCGTATAAATCTCGTGTGCTTATTGGTGACTGTGGATGTGGTAAGGCTGGTGAGCGTGAGGGTGGTGCCATTCCAGGGGAGGAGTGACTGTGCGGATAGATCATTATTATCTGTGCACAGAAATGGTGGTGTATCGAAGTACTTAAAAGGGGGTGGAAGGTACGTACATAGAGTTCAAGCGGGGTTTAAGATCGGGCATAGAAAATAAGGACGAGCTCGGAGAAAAGTACGAGTTGCTCCCACCTGAGTACGTGGGACCGTTCAGTGTTGACTGATAGGCATGCGCGTATGGGGGGAATGGGATATTGGACGGGATTGAGTTTGGTATCGTGGGTTCTATCGAGAACACAGGGCTATGAGAGGTACCGGAATCGGAAGTGTAACTGAGCTATCATATCAGCCACGGGTCTAAACAAGTGTAAGACAAAAGAAGATAAGGTTCTGAGGAGACACGGCCTATGGATTAAAATTTCTTCATGGCGGTAATGATGCCCAGTTGGACTGCATATGTATGACAGCCAACACAGCCGTCAGTGGTACAGAATAGCGGGGACTACTCGCGTGATGCGAACCATTGCGGAAGTGCAGGCGGTTTGGCTTGATCTGAGGCTTAAGTTGTGTGACAACTGGATAAGAACAATGACGGAGTGTGAGTCGTGGCATGTTCATTACATTACCAGCTTTAGTGCAGATCGCACAAGCGGTAGATACATGCATAATTTTGAAATTAACGATAATGAGAGACAACCCAAGGAGTGGTGTATGTGCCTAAATGCAAGGTCGACGAGGGGGTACATCGGAAGAAAAGAAATGACCAACGAAATTTGGGGGTAAACTTACCGTACATCATCTGTCGCTGGAATTGTCATGTATCGCATCCCCATATCAGAGGGTAACGACGGAGGGTGAACAAATTCCTGTCTTGAAGAGCTGTCAGGCTCTGGTTCGGATCCGACAATACACGAAGACGAATGCCCTGAATAGGCGGTTAGGTCTTGGATATTACCAGATTGAGAGCACATGAAGTGATCGAGTGTTAATTTTTGAGGTGTAAGGACTATTGGGTAAGATGGTTAGTATCGGATGATATAAAATTCCCGAAATGTTTAAGGTAGTAAGATTGAGATAGGTTATTGAAACCTTTATGGATAAAAAAAAACACAAACGAGGCGAACCAGCAATCAGAACGAAAAGGAAGATTGTAAAGACAGTGCCAATTGGATAGAGAGTGAATTGTAGTGTAACGGCGTGATTAATGAAGCTTTTGGAAGAAGGGGAGGGGAGAGGGGGAAGAGGGAAGGGAATTCTGGCAAAATTCAGATTGAAAGATATGATAGGGAGAGGGATGTATAACGTTTTTGGGGTTAGGCTACTTTGTGCGCCTCTTTTTGAATCTCAATTTTTTGATTGAGAGGATGAATGGTAGAAGATTGTAGAATGGAGGGTTGTGTCGATGATTTGATTGTGAACGTCGCACTCGGGAACTTCTTCCATGAAACGTTCCGTTTGACCAATTCACTGTCAGGGCCCGGCATTACACTGTATTGCTCTGCGGTTTTGTGCTTTATCAGGTGTGAGATGTGAGATGTGAATTGTAGAGTATGATGTGTGAAGTGTAGAGGTTGAAGTGTAATGGTGATATGCTAGGCAATGATATGATTGATATTTGATATGAAGACCGCAT